GTCGGTACGTGCCATATTCTCATTGGCGAGCACCTATAAAAAATATTAAAAATAAATTTTTGATAAAAATATAATGACCAAAACACCCCTCAAATATTGTAGGGTTATTTTGATCATTTTATTTTATTGAAAATATTTTTTTATATTTTTCGCTAGTGCAAGTTTAATAGAAGATTGGATGTCCAAAATTTGGTGTCAAAATAGTTTATAGAAAAAAATTAAAAATAAAACAGCATAGAGACATGACATTGTGATTGGTACAATCTTAACCATCCATTCAGAATAGACGGTTGGATAAAGAGGAGGATAGAACTTCTATGCTGTAGGAGAAACATAAAAAGCTTTTTTAATCTAACGGCGTATTTCATATACTCGCATCGTACAAATATGGTAACTCACTGTGTCTATTTAAATCTTGAGCATGGATGGTACGCTATTTATGAAGTATAGTTTATTTTTACTCCCTTGGTCATAAAATCTACTTGGAATAATTCTTTTCAATCTAAAATTTTGAGAACAATTTGAGAATTACTAGATGATTATGATAATCTAAAGAAATTGAAATTTGAGTCTTCTATCATTCAGATCTCACTATCTAAAATTCATTAGATCTCCATATATTATTAAAGTGCATTAACGTATAATTAGAAAAATAATTTTATTGAGATTAATCCATGAGTTGAAGACGTTACATCCCGAAAATTTTGGATCCTAAAAATTAATTCCAAGTAAGGTTTTATTTAAGGAAGTAAATAAACATTCAAGAATAGAATATCTTTAAATCTTGAATTATTGATTAAATTAGTTTAAGTTTGTTGGGTAGTAAATCATTTTAAGTGAGGATAGAAGAGTACATTTTATGTTGGGTAGACGATAGTAATTTCTGAATGAGGCCATTGTAATTAGAAAATTCATCCAAATCTCCTTCAGCTTTCCCTCACACTAAGGATAGCTTTTAAAATAGTTTCTAGCCACTATGACATGTACTCATCTCTCTCTCAAGATGGGAGAGCTCGTGCTCCTCTCTCTCCACAAGTCTCTCTCTACAATTTCCTATCAACATATTTCTTTTATAAATTTTCTCGGTCTCTCTTTTTTATATTTATATCTATCTATATTAGATTATTCTACAATTTCCTATCAACATATTTCTTTTATAAATTTTTTCGGTCTTTTTTTTCTGTATTTATATCTATCCATACTAGATTATTAAGTCAAAGTTAAAAAGATGTACACGTACAGTGAAAATAAGAAGCGTCTTAATTCTATATATAGATTGTAGATTGCATTCCTAACTTTAGGGTAAGAGAATGATAGAATAGGGACTTAGGGAGAGAGATGGTATAGGTATGATAACATTTAAAATTAGATAGAGAGAAAGAGATTGTTAGTAGAAGTACGTATTTTTAAGGGGAGAGAGAGTAAGATAACATTTCCTAAGTTGTAGAGAATAAGATAGTTTTCCCATTTTTTAGAGGGGGTACGGTTTTGTATAAAATCGAGGCTCTAAACAATCAAAGTAAAGCACCTCTCAAATAGTGTCGAGAAATGTGATTTCAATAATAAAAATCTGTATGATAGCTTTAAAATATATTTTTATCTTTAATTATAAAATTTAAAGCTTCTAAAATAGTGTAGATTGAACAAATATATAAAAACTTAAAAATCTTAATAAAATGACAGCAAAAAAAGGTTTTACAAAATGCACTATTTCTAAAACTTAAAATTCAGTGCCTGGATCTTGATGTTGAGATGATCAATTTGAGAATATTTGATCATCAAAACAACCTCTTCTAGTGAAATTTTTGAGGTAGGCTCTAAGTTGATTGTTTAGCGCCTTGGCTTTTTGTAATTTTTGAGGTGGGCTTTTAGGAGGTTTTATTTTATTTATTTATTTATTGTAATCACAATTTTTATCTATGATATTTGTAATATTGAATGGGGTATAAAAGTCGTTTATCGATTTATACATATCAAGGTACTTCAACATTTTTGTTTCTTTTGTTCTGCAATAATGTGTTGGATTTACATATCATTTAAAGGTAGAAAAGATCATTGCCAAGGTTTTGTTAGACAATGGTCAACAACCCTTGAGGCTTTTGGAACTGATAACTACTAAAAGATAATATACCTGTAGAATACCACAACTTCTTTTCCTGATCTCAAAATGCACATAAAGATGACCTACTTGAAGTTTTACCAACTCTTTCTTTTTTATTTCCTTTCAAAAAGTCCATCAAAATAAACATGACCACAAGTTGGAATGGTTTAAAAGGAATAAAATTTTAAATAAATGACGAGGTTAGATGTATTTTGACAAATTTCGATACCCAGCAAGTTTAAGTTCCGTACAACAAAATGAAGGCATAAACACCAAAGGGAAGTTAAACACAACACTAGAACAGAGATATGTACAACAAAGAGCGACTCTTTAAGAGTTTCCATGGACAACAAAAGGACTTTTTCATCAGAATTCTTGAGCATTTCCATGTGAGGAAACATGGAAACAAAATGGAACCCACTATAGCCAAAATGACAAGAATTTGTTATGGATCCTGGGACTCTTTCCCAATACTTTCAATTGGATCTTCTGAACATCCTATTGAAGTTGGAGATCTCTCTTTTGAAGTAAAATTGCTTAGATAAGAGTGTGACCGCAAACGAGTAGTAACCGCCTGCATGTCTTCCACCATCATTTCCAATAGTCTCAAGGCTGCTCTCAATTCTTTATTTTCCCCATCTATTTTAGCAATTTCTCCATCCTTTCTAGCAATGACCATCTCTTTATATTTGGCCTCCTAAAATATGTTCACAGTAAAGTAAAGTTTACGCTATGAAGGGTTTTGACGGGGAAAATCAGAGAAAGAAGATCAAAGAGACCTAAGGCTTTACCTCATCCTTCATGGCTAGCTCTTGCTCATAAGCTTTGATCTTATTCTTCAATTCGGCATTATTGTCATCCAATTCAGTTCCTTTATCTTGGGGCTTCAATTCAAGCTATGATTGGCCCAAGGGAAAAAAATATTTCGAGTTAGTACGATTCATGTGTAATTTTGGGTTAGTATAAAATATTGTGAAATGTTAAAAGGCAGCAAGCGATAAATTATTATGATTGCTGAACTAAATTATTATGATTAATCAACTAAGAAATGAGGCAGTCCATGTATTGATGTTCATTTTTATACGTACGAAATACCAAGTAGGGGACTCATAACTCTCAGACAATGAAGAGATTTCAAAATATAAGCTTAAAACAAACAAATGAACAAATAGATAACAAGATAATAATATATAAAACAACAAATAAAATAAAAAATAAAAAAAACTTCTTAAGAAAAATAAGAAACCTTTAGAACCTTCCAAACAGTGATGACAAGAAAACCCTAGTAGCAGCATGGAGTATCTTGCCTTTGCAATGATCAAAGTTCCAATCTGCAATGATCTTGCAGGACTCTTTCATTTCCTTGAAATCATCCCCATCCCTAGTTACTTCTGACTTCAACGTTAGCTTGGGATGCAGGAGAAATGGAGGAGAGTCGACAAGGATCATCAGGCAGTTGGCAAGGCATTAGAACTTTGTGAAAATAAAAGGTTTTTTGCTTAAGAACATAGGAGGCAGCTATAGTTTATTTGTTGGGATACAGTGTGTGATAGAAACTAGCACATCACCATACGAAATATACAAGGCAAACAATGCATTTGATCATACACAAATTTAGGGTTTTTGGTTTCAATTTAAAAACCAAATCTAAGTGAGCAATATAAATGTGCTGAAAATACTCTCCAGCTAGATACAAAAAAAAGATTAAAGGCAGAGAGGAAAGGACGTCTTCCCCACAAGCCTTCACTGAAATTTTCGGCCTACAATAACTTGGAAAGAAAAAAAAAGAAAAAGCATTAAAATAAAGCACCTCCATCTCACTCTTGGACACAGTTTCCGATTCAGTGCTGTTTGTCGAGTAATGGATGACATCACGCACGGACACCTCTACTTCCATAATAATTGTGCCATTAATCATATACCCCGATTTTGGGCCGAGATCACTGAGACGGATAAATGAGGAGAAGCCCCAGCTTCTTGACTCCCCAGCAAATACACTTTGTGTTTCTGATTGAAAAATAAACAACATATTTTAGGACATTTCAATTCAAGGAACCATAGATTAACTGGACCATGCAAATGGTAAAATATGCCGAATACTTTTAAATACAGAATTCAAATCTTTAAAACAACTTGGAAAAACCAATCTATGCAGCAGATCAATCCAACAACTCCACGAGACAAGATAAACCCAAGCATGAACTAGCTCAAGCACCACTAGCTTGATCACTAATATTATCAACATTGAATAATCAAATAATATGTATAATCCACAATAAAGGGCATCATATCATTAATGGACAAGTAAACCACTACAAACTGCAATGTTAAACATGAAAACATACTTGGTATAATTGATCTAATGTAATAGAAAAAACCAACAACTCGGTGAGACAGAAGAGTCCAAGCAGGAACTATCACAGTAAAGGGCACAATCCAATCATAATTCAAGCACATAAAACAAACAACTAATATCTTGACTGGCTAGAGGGTGGTGCATCTCGAGTAAGATGGGCCGATTAATCAAATCGTCGAATCCCTTTCTTTCCCTGGGTGATTCTCCTTCATTTCCCTTCGCTTTTCTCCGGCAGAGTTGAGATTTAACACTTTCTAGGAACCCTACTTAACACTGACTACCGCCACAAGCTCAAGCACATAAAACAAACTTGGAAAAATCAACCCAGTGCAGTAGGAAAAACCAACACGTCAGAGAGGCAGGATAGAATCCAAGCAGGAACTAGCTCAAATACCACTAGCATGATTGTTTGAGTTATTGGCTTTGAATAATTGATTAACATGCACAACCCACGGTAAAGGGCATAGTATCATTAGTGGACCAGAAGAACATTAGAACTGCAATGGTAAACATGCTTATCATGCAACAACAGGACTTAGGAAGAGAAAACTCTTGGAAGCCCTTCTACTACACGCCATGCTTCCTATTAATAAAAAAATAATAATTAAGCAATGGCAGTAATAAAAAGAAAAGACATTGTACGCTCATTAGCACTGAGATCATAGAATCCAGTCCTACAACCTGTTCAGTAAAATAATTTACTCAACATTATCATAACAGTGATCCATTTAACCCTTTTCTATTTTCCTGACTAAATAAGAAAACATTATCTAAACCTGGAGCCCGCAGGTGAGTGCATGGTCAGAGAACAAATCATAAATAGATTGAGTTCAAATCATTATAAATAGATTGAGTTCAAATCATTATAAATAGATTGAGTTCAAATCATTATAAATAGATTGAGTTCAAATCATCATAAATAGAAGAAAACCATAAATCCTGCTTTTTTGTGTCACCACTTCCACTTACACCCATATAATTGCATGTGATTTCCACACACTCTATTCAATAAACAAGGTAACATCATAGCTCTCATACTATGTCATCTAAGAAGCAGTGCTGCAATAAGGAGAGGATACTACCTTGTCTTTTCGTGTCCTTGCTATTAGTCTGGTTTGTGATACAGAAGCATATATCTACATATCGGCTCCATCCATTAGGCAGACTAGCATCATCCGGCACATTTAAGTACACCGACAAATAGTTCACATTATTCCCCTTTGGAAATAGAGACAGCTGCCTACAAAACCCAAATTCCCATCAAATATAATCTCAGAAAACGTATTTCAATCCAACATAAGATCACTTACATGACAAAACCATATCAAACCACGTAATACATCTACCACATGCTAAGGGGGGGGGGGGGGAAACTCAACAACCAACATCAACTTCCACTATTATTAAGGTAATGTATGAAAAGTATTTGATAAAATTCTAAAATCTACAATTATATGCACTGAATAAGATCACAAAAAAAATAACAAGAATTTCCAAAACCATTGAATTCATCCGATAAAATTCCAAGTTCTAAAATTGTATGCCAATAATATCTATTCAACAAAGAAGAAAATTGCATACATTTGCCAACCATTAAATTACAATATCAAATTCGTTGATGAAACTCCATAAATCCACAATCATATGCCATGGATAAGATAGATTCAACAAAGACAAAAAGTTCTTCATACCATTTGCAGCCTCCAACAATGAATATGTCAGAATAGTGTTGCTCGGTGTTCAGGCTCGTGAAATTCTCAATCTTCCAAGTAACTCTACAAGTCTTATTATCTGCGCTAAGCTCCACCACTACAACACCACAAATGGCAACTAAGATTAAGGAAAGGCAACACAAAATTTACTTACAGTAAAGTAGCGCAAATTACGACCAGAAAGGAACTAAAGCATAACAGGGAAATAACGGAACTAAATATAGAATCCTATAAGTCAGCATAAGATGGACTGCCATCAACAGGATGAAGCTCAATGAATCACTATAAAAACCCATAAAGGAAATAAAAAAAATCAAGATTGGCACACTAGCACTTGGTACCTTTTACAGTCTGAGAGGATGAGTTTTGCGTCTCTTTACCCTGCTTAGAAACAAAAATTATAAAATTTCAGTGTTTATAGACATGTTAAAAACACTACAATGGCGAAAATCAAAAGCCTATAGATCGGGAACAAAGAGTTTTGGAATGAAAAATGCAGATATTCGAATCCAAGCGCTAATTTTCATGGTACTCTAACCACTCTTGCCACTTTTTGCTGGCTATCGAAAGATAAAAGAAAAAAAAAGAGTGGTGAAAAGTTACAGAGAGCTAGAGAACAATGGAATGGAAAATAAAGAATAACATATTACGTCCAAAGGGGACAACATCCTCAGTATTGATAAACGGCGCTGAAGACCGGAAGTGGACGACCGATATAACGACATCTCGAAACAGAGACGCTTTACCAATCTTTTGGTGTGATATATATATATAGCTAGCTTAGAGAGAGACCTGTTCATTATAGTTGCTTGGCATGCAAGAAATGATATAGTATACACATGATGTGTATGATGAGGACCTACGACTATAGGGATTCTTTACAGAAACCATTTATTTTTTGTCTCTTAAATTTTAAAATGTGTGCTTATAAAAGTGGGTACCAAGTTTCCAAAAAAAAAAAAAATTCTAAGACTTGTAACTCACCAAAACCAGTCCAATCTAACATCTAACGAGGGAAAATTATTGTGCCTACCTTTCAAAGTAAAGGCATGTATGGTATGCTATTTCGGGAATATAATTTATT